TTCGCCTATTGAGCAATGTGAAGTGAGTTCTGTTATTGTTATCTTCTGTAGACTTTCACATTTCCTACAATTCAAAAGTGCCAGCTGACATTATCTTTGCCTGATATTGCCGATTTAGCGTGCATACGTATAATTACATTTTCTTTGGCGTCATAAGTTTTCAATGCCTTCGATGTAGAGTGATGTGCAAAACATTTGCGTCAGCCGGACTTGAACCCGCAATTTTGCTTTAGCCAGGGGAGAAACGAGAACGAGCGGGGGGGGGACGTGATCTAAGCTTTGTGCCACTGGCGCATGCTTGGCCACTACTCGTCCTATGTCGATAAATGTCAGTACCTACTGCTTGGGCCAGACCGTTGACCAGGTGTCGGTGAGGCAAGAGATAGAGCACGCTTCCCCGGATAGGGTGAGATGCGAGTTCAAGTTCCGCTAAAGCACATGTTTTGCATATCACTCTACATCAATGAGTATAATTATAACATCATATCACCCCCATAAGCGGCTGAATAATGAACAACATCCTATTTCAATGTCGTTTTTTTAGAATCAGATGACTTAGGTCGTCGAACAAAATTTCAAACCACTATTTTTAAATATTTCACTGTGCACGATTGTAGTTAAGTGATAAAAGTGTTGTCGTGGAATGGTAGCTTGTACTGGAATCCTTTTTTTTCCTACCCTTACTGGGTTTCTTTATTCATCAAAAAAATATGGGTCGTTTTCGAGAGATATAAAAAGAAGTTAGAAGGTAATGCATAGGTTTTGTCGAAAAGGAGGTAGCACCTTTAGAGACTTGACACTGTCGAATAATAGCGTGGAAGACAGATTAATCTAATATGGAGAACAACCACCTGTCAGAAGTTGTTTTGATTTTGGTTTGGAGTAATTGTTTTTGATAAAGTCATTTGTCTGCGAAACATCGTAATCAAATTCGCTTTAAGCACTTAATTTCTGCAAATTATGAGGTTCTCAGAAAAGCATTTAAGATAACCAAACCAAAGAAAGTAACCACCGCTCGATCACTTTTTTTTGGTAGTTTATTTTGCTGCGCAAACTGCTCTTCCTGCATTCATTCTCTTTGTATTCAGCTGATAGCTTGTGAGACAGAGTGGTTGTTTGTACTCCCGTAAAACTTCGATGAGTCTTGTAATCGTGTAGATGTGGTCCATGGTACTAAATCCTTTTCGGAACCCTGCTTGTTCGCATGGTTGTCCTTCGTCCAGTGTTCTGTCAATCCTGTTTAGGATGACTCGAGTAAAGAGTTTATAGACAGCGGACAGCAAGCAGATTGGGCGATAATTGCCTATGTCGTGAAAGTCTCCCTTTTTGAACAACAATACGGTCTTGCTGGTTTTCCATTGGATAGGGACCTTGCATTCAGACAAGTAGCGAGTGAAGAGCAGAGCCAGGGTGTTGATGAGAACTGGCGGCAGGTTCTTCAGGTGTTCCGGTTTAATCCTGTCTGGATCGGGTGTTGTTCTGTTCTTCACCGTCGATATAGCATGTCGGATTTCGGAAGGGAGGACCGGTGGGCTGCATATTGGTCCTCTTTCAATTTATGTAACTGTAAGAAGACATGGCTAGCGAAGAGATTCGAGTAGTACTGGTGGATGATTTTCTCTATAGCCCTTTTCGAAGTTGTAAGTGTCCCGTCAGGGCATCGGAGTGCAATCATCTTGGTCTTATAGTTGGCGAAGCAAGAAATTTATATAACAATGTTTTATTCATTTCTAAACCTCCTGAGACGATCCTCTAAAGCTCTTTATAACAAAACATTTTGGCTTCACTAAATGTAATTTAATATCACCTCTTATACAAAGTACTCTCTGTTCACTAGATAATCCCTGTGCTCTATTTTCCGTCAGGCAAGACGGATGTAGGGATCGAGCATTGTGCTACCACAGTTGTTTGGCAAAATTTCGTTCACATTCTTTCTTTGATATGCATATTAAAGTTGCCTACGACGATTGGAAAACGTTGTAATAATAAGTCTTCCACCGTTGGTTAATTTATGGGCCAATGTGAATTAATCACCTTTACGGTGAAGTCGAGAGCATGGCGCCTCCATGATCTGAGCGAAGCTAGAAGCTTTACTTTTTTGTTCTTTGATGCAACATCTTCATTCACTCTCTGATCAATTCGTAACTCTTCTTGAGCTTATACTCATTTCGTTCATTTCTGAATGAAATCGGGCCTATCCGGTAAAGTATTAAGTGTTGTCTGATTCAAAATTTTGGCGAACAGCTGTTCTTCACAGTGCAACCCAAAACTTGACGGAAAACTCTCTTCCATAAATCCCACACATTTTTCAAAAATCAATTCTCATGCACATGGTCTTCTCTTTAAGTGCTTTCAAATAATCAGTTGTTTGACTTATGAAGATATCTCCGCAAAGTTTATTTTAATCTTCTCTGTGACAGAGTTCGTGGAGAATAATCATGGGACAATTATTAAGAAGATGGCTGTCCTTAAGCCAGTTGAGTTTCTATATCGACATTTCACAATCTATCGATTAATCGCAGAAACCCGAGAAAAAACTGTCGTGCACAAAACACCTGCTGGAACATTTTGTCGGTGTTTTCAGTTCATTTATATTAACTAACCCGATCAAACTTCAATCATGGGAGTTTCTCCATAGTAATGCTGAACAAGGGGAATTACTAGGAAAAGGCGCTTTTGGTGAGGTCCGTGCTGGAAGACTACAATTGAAAACCGTCGAAGTGGCGAAGTGGCGAATAAAGTTGTGAGTAAGCAAAATTTATTTCTTCTGTTGGTAGTTCTGGTAATGTCATTGAAAAAAACTGATCTATTGACAATGCGTTATTACTTTATGAGTGTGTGATCACATGCCTGGAACGATCAATATCTATGTATTCCCACTACTTAATGGCGAGCTAAAGCACTTACGGAGGATTGGCTAGAAATCGAAGGCTTCTGCCCAACTGACGAGAATGCCAAGGTTGAAACACGTGCATCAGGCTGTACAAGAGCCCATTTAACAGGCCACAATGATAAGTTGGCTCAGATAATTATGAGATTCTATGCAGAGATCCCACATCTAATAAACACATATAATTTTGCCTGTAATTCCCAGTTCAATCATTTTGAGTAGCAGAGCATCTGAGCGAGCGATATGTGTGTAGAGAGTTTATTTATTTTGTGTTGTTATTACCAGATAGTTGTTCCACGAATGTTGAGCGGGAAGTGGTCGAATTTGCTGTTGGCTTCGTGAAAGTCTAAAAGTTGTTTTACTTAGGAATTTCGTGGAAGACTATCCTCAAAAAGTATTGCAGTCATAGAGAAGCTGCTGTGAAGACATAATAAATCGGCACATGGCCACCGGATGATCTCACTGATTCCTATTTACTACACCACCAAAATCCCACCACTTAGCGAATGGTTTTACGCATTTACTAAGCACAATCGCCCTTTCTTAGCATAGGTGGCGTTTTACATAGACACTGACAAATTACTGATGAGTAGCTTTCAGCCAACTTCTGCTTTTTGTTGTCGAGAAGTCTGTACCCTGAAGATTACGAATTTGATTGAGAAACAGCGGTAACATCTAGGAATAGAATTGCATGGGAATCATCAAATTGCCGGAGAAAATTGACCATCTAGCGCTGTATATGTCTTTTTCCTGGATTCAATCACTCTGAAGTGCCATTGTGGCTAAGAATAGGCATATTGTCGTTGGAAGAAGTCAGCAGTTCGCTCACACATCCGAATTATAATTAATCAAAGTTATAATGATAATGATTTATTGAAATTATAGAAGACGAAATATAATTAATTAAAATTATAAAAGACGAAACTGGCAAGTGGAAAGTATATATTCAATTCTGAGTCTCAGCTGTAATCCGTCTTATCAGACTATTTCTTAGACTAAAGACTGTTCCGACTTGTGTAAAGCTAAAATAAAGGAAATGATGAAGGAAGCTCGGCTCATGCGAAATTTTTGTCACAAGAATATTGTTCGTTTGTACGGTGTTGTAGTTGATGAACAGCCGCTCTACATACCTCTGGAACTGGTTTCTGGTAAGCTGTATGGTTTGGTGTACTGTGACACTTTGACTTCATTGTAAAAGTTACTAAAGTAAATCTCTCAACTGATCCGCTCTCAGTGTTTCTTTTCTTCACTATGCGGATCCCACTACTTCTAGCGTCTAAGTCGCCTTTCGTCTTCTTCTTGAACGTCGTAGAATACTGACTAAGCACGTCTTGCAATTTCGATAATAGCCTGGGTGTGGCTTTCCCTAGGGCTTCGTTGTGACTGCGGGAGAGTGCTGATTGGTGAGGTTTGCCCAGACGCGCGCCACGATGGGCACCTCAGCCACTTGGCCATGGTGCACTATATCTTGATTTAGGTATATCTTTTAAAGTCAGCTAAATAAACGTTATGCAAAAGGCACATAGTAATTTTCGAAAGAGTGGCGAGTGAGCGATACTAACTGTTGGTTGCACGAATACCACTACATGCGAAGTACAGCTAGAGCATTTTTACTTCTCAACTGCGCGTCTTCACAATTCACTAACCCTTGCATAGTTCCAGTTAGATTTGAGCTTTGAGTGATAACTTCCAGGTTTGATGCGGTTCACTGTGTTTCAATCGTTAACGTGTACTGGATAACCCTTAGATCGTTTGGCCATCAAATGACAGTATTATTTATTATGGTGTCAGGATAGCGGCAAATCTTGACTCCCCTTCATTCATAAATGGACTCCTGTGTGCAAGTATGTAACTTCGCAGTGGGGACTCTTCTCACTTCCTATTATCGTACCTGAATCGTCGTGAAACCGTGCTGCTCATTACAATTCGACATTTCAAGAGTTTAATACCAAATATGTGGAGTACTGTGCAAAAAAATTTGCTTCAGCCGGGATTCGAACCCAGATCTCACTCTTTCCGGTAGCGTATGCAAACCGTTGCACCACCGACGCTCGGTTGGCTGTTGGCAGACAACGCGTTTTAGCGTAAATAAGAGTGCGGTGCAAAACGAGCGTCGGTAGTGCAACAGATGGCTTACGCTCCCGGAAAGAGTGAGATCTGGGTTCGAATCCCAGCTGAGGCAAACGTTTTTGCACAGTACTCCACATATTGGGTATACTATGAACAACATACCACTGCAAGTGGCAGTCAAAATAGAAAGAATTATGACAGTTTAATACCAGATGATGAAAAGTATGCGTACCAAATTTCGTTGGAGCAACTGATGTAATACATGATAATTAAATACCAAATCTATTTGTGTCGTTCTTAACATACTTGGAAATAAATCATATTTCGCTTTTTAGGCGGCTCCTTGCAGTCGTTTTTGAAAGCAAATGCCGGAAAAGTTGATGTGCATGATAAAATCAAGATGTGTCTTGGAGCAGCTGAAGGCGTGGCCTACTTGCATTCAAAATGTTGTAGGCACGAGATCTAGCGGTAAGGAATTGTCTCATAACTAAGGACAAAGTTGTAAGTCGCTTCTAATCGTTCTGGGAAATCAACAAATAAGTTTTCCATATTGCAAAAGTATGTAAGAGTGCCAAAAGTGTGAATCCCTGGCAATTTGACTGACTTCATTTTTTCTGTAAAAGATGAGGGTTATGAACTGAGAAAGGTGAGGAATGTATAGTTATAAAAGGGATCTTGTTCTACACCTCTAGCGCAGCACATGGTATGCATGGCACTTACATTTTGCTGTGGTTACACATATAAAGGCACTACCGCCAACAGTTTGAAAATGTTTTGCAGTACCAAATATTTCTAAAGCGTACCGATAAATGTTCAAAAAAATTCGTCCTGCACTATAACTCGTAAACATCGCAGAAGTAATTTGATGCTTAATTGGCTTATGCAACAAATTGTTATGAGTAACTAATGTATCAAACTGGCGCTAACACCGTTCCAGCCACGTTTTAAACCAATTTAGCAACCTCAGGGGTTTAGGAGAGAGGCTTGATGACACGACAGGCGGGATCGCAAACATCTTCCAAATCCGCACGCAGTCTAGTGATCCACCTACAACAATAGCGCTAAACGCGCTTTTGTGTGGTTCATCTTCCTTATTCGGAATTGAATTGGGAGCTAGTTTTCAAAAGCTTACGTACGGTACTTACGCAAAGTTTACGTTCAAAGTTTTTTTTCACTTCTGAAAGTCTGAAGTCAACCTTTTTCCAAAGCGCCGCTCGCTAAGCTGTTTAGACGATCTGTCTCACAATATAGCGTGCGGATCCCAACACTCCCTGCACTGAATTTGCTTTTTCATATTCATCCCTCGCAACAGTTCTGAATTGACATTGAGGCAGCCGAGGTCCATTTCGTAATCCTGGACTCGATATCATTTGGGGATAGGGACTGCTTACGTTAGCCATAAATTGTCCGCCCATCTCCTGGGTGGTCATTTGAACAAGCGATTGCGATCTTCAAAAGTAAACTCTGTGTTCGTTTCGTTTAACTGTCATTTGTTTTTCATATCGGACGATTGGCCCATCTGTGCTTTCCTATCTGTGTATGCATTTCCGGTAGATGGAACAGCTTCTGAAAATCTGTTCTGAGCAAGCCGGCTAATGTTTTGAGTGGCGCCTAAATATATGAGCACTCCGTTCAAGCACTCTGGGAGATATTCACACCCTTTTCGACGTGGTCAAAGCATTACTTCATGTTTCTGCTGCACAACAAACCACTGAGAGGGCTGTGGAATAAGGAAAGTGAGCTTGGAGTTTGGAACTCGTTATCTAGCCCCTTGATTTCCTTGAAAGGCGCAGATGTGATCTAAGCGTGCACACACGTGCAATGGCCACCACACTGAAAAAACCAGGCAGTTCAATTCTCTATCTTCGCGCCACGGATTCACTGTGAACTCGGACTTCGTTCTGTTTATGCTTACTCCAATCTTTTTCTCCTTTTGTGAGATAAATTAGCATTCTCTGTGCTCCGCTGGTAGCCTCAGTAGACAAAAATGTCGTCCGAGAAACCAAAGTGTGCTTGGGAATTCCCGTTAGCATCTGTCTATGCCACTATGGTCCAACTGAAGACTTCATTATTTGCTGCAGTGCATGAGCAGCTTTGAAGACGTATTGTCGTTTTGTCGATCCTTTATTTCTGTGCTCATAGTGAGGTGTCGATGAAAATGCCGTATTTTTGTGCTACACTTCGCTAGTCATTTGTTGTTCTTCTATCAAGCGGATCTACGTTTCGCTCGCTAAGCGCTAATATATACATATATATATATATATATATATATTGCACATTTATGTTCGTCTTTATTTATGTATATATCTATATAAAAACTATCTATAAAATCAATCTATTGGTTTAGGTGAAAGTTAGTGACTTTGGCCTGTCTCGTATGGGCACTTCGCATGTGATACGCACTGCTATGAGGCTTCCAATCAAATGGCTGGCACCGGAGACGATCGCAAAATTAACATTTTCGCTGAAAACCTTGGTGTGATGGTATATGAAATTTTTGCGGATGAGGCTGAACCGTGGGAAGGAAAAACCAGTGCGCAAGTTAAAGCAGCTGTGAGTTCAAATTTTTCGTAATCGTTGGTACCTTTCTTTTTCTACTGTTCACAGGACTGAATATAAGCTAATGTCGCGAACACTAGTGGACGGTCAGAACAATTTTCAGAGCGAAAGACATCAGTTTTACTTAACAGTCCAAGAGCGTCTTGATAGCGCTATCGAGGATAGATGGAGTTGACTGATTGTTCGTTTCAGGTGATTACTGGCCACTTTGTGCAGTTGCCAGATTCCTGTCCTGAATCGCTACGCGATTTTTTTTCTACTAAGGTCTTCACAAAGGATCCAGAGTTTAGAGCAAACATGGCAGAAGTATGTCTATTATATCTTCATCGCGCTTCTTTCCGTTTTTATCATCTTCTTGTATATGTAGCACTGATATTTAAGGTAGTAACTGTGTTCTAGAGTGCAGCCGGCGTTTAACCCTCAGGTTTCGGTAGCAAACAAAAAGTTATGGGTTTCATGCAAGAGAGGTTGAGTACATTATAATTATTCGAACACACAGATGGAACCAATGGAAGTATTCGATGTACAAAGTCTCAGTAAATTTTTCTGAGGAGCTCACATAGCTCTGCTATCCAGAGCTTACGTTTTTAACGCACTATGTCATATTGGAGCTTTTTGTAAGATACGAAATCTCTTTGAAACGTTGAAAACGTAACGCCAGATTTTAGTGAATTCATGTGAATTATGCAACGTATTTCTTCAAGCATATGAAATGTTTGTGTCTATATGAAAACAATGATTTTTCGTTCAGGAAGTCGGGTATTGCCAGTGTGATGTTGGCGACTGCAAAATTATCTCCGTCATAATTGAGGCACTACGTTCATAATTTCCTTGCTTGAACCGATATCACATTGGGGATTAATAAATACATCGTAATTTTATGTATTTTTATTCGTCAGTAACAGTCTATAATCGTTTGACCATGTGGTAATCACCAGTGAGCGGAAGAAACAAAATGCCGATGAAGAACGTGGCAAAATTCAAACAAGCTACATCCCCTTCGAGACCGCGAATATACGCCATCTTTCCCCTGTGAAGAACACAAAGCACCTTATCAACTAGTTTCCAACTTCATGATTGATGTTTTGTCCTGGAGAATCCCCCAAAGGTTTATATGACAGAATATACTCCAATTAAAAATTGAGGTATTCCTCTTAATGAAGGCATAGATTGGTACTCCATATATCTTTGCTAGATCAACCACATTATCACATTGACTTCGTCAGTCGGTCGAAAATCATTGGTTTGGTTTATTGGTTGAATTCCAGGGCGGCTAATCTCAGTCTAAGTCAAGACAATCAGCGCTTACTGATGTTGAAGACCTGAGAGCGCCAAACTTAGCTATATCGGGTTCAGAAAGAGACCATTCGGGACTGAACTTCTGCAGTAGATGACACAAAATATAGGTGCAACCCGTTTATTTGCAATTTAGTCAACTCATTTATAGAGCTGCTAAGGTCCACTTTTCTGTTAAAGACAAGCCAGATGGCTATATTGAGTCATACCCTATTCTCGCGTGTTTATAAAGACCTCGATCATAACAATCATGGTCGACAACATGTTAGCAGGTTTGAGCCTGTTACGAGGTCTTTATAGGTCAACAGCTATACAGTGCTAGACATTCGCCTGTTTCGCCCTTCTAAAGGCACTGTACCACTGAGCACACGGTCCCCGGGAGATCGGCTGAACCGAAGGGCAATGTACTACTGAGGAGCCTGGAAGGGCGAAATAGAAGCCTTTCTAGCACTGTATAAGTGTCAGAACGGGTCTCTAGTAGGCTCATGCAAGTTATTATGTTATCAGGATATCACTGACTAGATTAAAGTTTCCTTGACACCGCTCATTTCCTATTCTTTTAGTCTCAAATCTTGAATCTCTTTGTCTTGCACGGTCGTGATATTTTTCTAATATTGAAGAGACTCTCACCCCTCAGAAAGCAGTTACAACACATTGAAAATAATCGTTTCCTCTCTTGAGAGAGACATCGAGCAGTAATATCCAAATGCTGCCTTTTGTTTTGATGCAGCAGGAGCGACTGTGTTTACACCATTTCACAAGATAGCAACAATTTTACTTGAAGAAATCCACTTGTTCACATCTAGTTGTCGTGAAGAGCAAGGAATTTATATGTCGGTGTCTCTTGTAGTTTAAGAAACTCCGAGCATACTTAGAGTTAAATGAGCACGGTCGTGAAAAAGTATGGTATGGCAAGCACTTATTGCTCCAAGTAAAGAAAAAGACCAGCTAAAATTGAATTCAATGTTCCTGCCCTGTGCTGCTCAAGTTTTTTTTTTACTCTGCTCAAGTTTCCTCAAAGAGGCTTGCAACAAAGTGAAAATAAAAACGATTAATAGCTAAGCTTTCAGTGAAAATCCCACACAAGAAACTGTAATAATCAAATAATATGCATAGGAGTTACCTTATGCTTATTAAAGTGTCCAGAACACTCTTTTCAACCATGTCAGGTAATCCTTATCGATATCTTTCCAGATGTATAAGGCCAATTTGACCATCGCGAATGTATGTGTAAACAAATTACAACGATCAGCTTTG